ACAAGTCTTCTTTGGCCTGGGAAACATCCAAGTGCCAACGGACCGATCTGGGGAGTCTGACAAGGCAAGCGTGGGAAGAATGCAGAGGACCGCAGTTAGGACAGGCATCTACCCAGCCACCAATCAATTCCCAGACCCTCTACTCCTATGGTTCATCCAAGCAGCATCTTAAGACAAGACAGAAGGCGCCATCCCAGCTACCCTAGGGCGCCCCGCCTACTCTGAGCTTGGGGGTCCTAGCTAGGTTCTCAGAGAACAGGCCCCGCCCCTTACAAGGCTCCACATAAAGCCTTGGCTCCGGACTCCGGTGTCCCGCGAGCAAACCGCCACCGCGAACGTTCCAGCTGCGGGTCGGGTCGAATCCACCTGGGGGCAGGGCCTTCAGATCGCCTTTCAGATAGATGAGTGTGGAGAGTTTCGATCTAAGACCAGGGATCCAGAGAGAAGAAAAGAGTGTGATGCAGATAGAGATCTGATCCCGGATCGCGGAGCCCCAAAACTACAAGACGGGAACTCAGGGTAGTTGGGTACCCTGTCACTGATCTTCGGGGGCAAACCCACCTTTGACACCTGCAGTTCCCTCCTGCTGTAGGGCATGGCACCCCCGTTAACCAATCCTGGGGAGGAGGTGTGGAGGCCCAGGCAAGACTCCAAGTCTTCCCATGCAGGGTTCCCCAAAAGGAGGCAGGGCCTCGCTCGTGGATTGGCACTGTCCACTTCCCCCTTTTTTTCTTTATTTTATTTTATTTCCTTTTCTTTCTTTCTTTCTTTTTTTTTTTTTAACAAATCTAGCTGTCGATGTGTAAGAGCGGAGACGGCTGGAAATGGTGGGTGGGGTCTCCCCCATGACCTCCCACCGCACCCAGCAACTCAAAGCTTCAGACACCTTCAAAATCAACCCAGAGGCCAACAGCTGCAGGCGAAGGAAGCTAGCGCACTCTCCCCGTGGCCGACCCAGAACTCCACTTCCTAGGCCGAACTTGGAGGATTCAGCTAGTCGGGGTCCCCTAAACTCCACACCCCACAGCTTTGCTCTCTCACCTGGTGCTAGCTGCCGCGATACCCAGCTCTGGAGGCATCGAGGGCGGGAAGCGAAGTGGGAAGAAGAAAAGGGAGGGACGCAGGCCTGATTGAGGACAGGAGCTGGACCAGCTCCTCCCCACTGGCGAGCGCTCTTCCTTCAACCAGACGAAGCCCCGCCCTTCTGTCCCGCCCTTCGCCTAGGCCCCACCCCCACCGAGGACCCGCACAGGTCCCTGCCCCGCCTCCGCAGCCAGAACAGGAAGGACCCGGTATCCCGGCGCCCAGCCGCGCGGCGGGCAGCTTTGCTAGGCGCTTCTTCCCACACACTCTAGGAACAATCCCTACAAACCTTCTAGACTTTGGAGGACTAACGAGAAAACGAAGGCTTGAAAACAGTCAGTTCCAACAGCGATGGCTTGGAGTGAAAGTTTTGGGGCCAAGTCTCAGGTGGACTGGCAGCCCAAGGTGGGTTTTTGTTTTTGTTTTTGTTTTTTTTTAAGAGGAATTTAGAGTTTCCCCTTCTCGATACAGATCCAGTTCTGGATTCGCTCCCGGAGTTCAAGTCATACGAGTCAGTGAGGTGCCTCCTAGACTGGAAAGTCTAGTCATGAAGCAAGTGCAAATGTTGGCAGTCAGGGAATCTCGGAGAAGAATTATCTCCACATTACGGATTTAAAGACAAAAGCAAACGGAGAGCTAGAGGGATAAGGTTTATAGATAAACTCGAATCCTCTTCTCAAGGATCCACGGTAGAGAGACCTATGTTTCCTGGTTCCAAATGTAGGCCTGAGGAGCGCGATTTTTCAGCGGCAGTGCTATTGGCATTTGGGATGGGATGAGTCGGTTTCTGAGATGTTCTGAGCGCACTGTGGGGTGCTTGGAAGCATTCCTCGTTCCACCCACGAAATACAAACATCGTAGCAGCCCCTACCAGCTGTAATGGCTGAAAATGTTTCCAAGGGGGTTGGAGATGGGACGCAATCATCCGGTATTCAGAAACACTGCCTTTGAGCTTACAGTGAAAAAATGTGGGCTGGGGCTCTGGGATCCCCGTCTATGGGCCCAAGTCTAGCTGTGGCTGTGTGATGTCGGTGTCTTTACCTCTCACGGGGAGCATGGTGTATAAGGGCATGCAAGTCTCTGAAGTTTTTAATCTCAGCACTCTTGTCTGGCTGTCTTCACTTTCTGGAGCTGCAGTATGACACATTTCCCACCCAGGGAAAAGAAAAATGGGCTTGTTTTCCTTAGACCATCAGGTCTGGTAAATATTGCTTTGGAAAAATTGGAGCTTCAGCTGAAGGGTGCCATCTAGGGGCACCTCTTTGAATCCTCTAGCTCCTCCCACTTCCAGCATCTTTCTTTTCTTTTTTTTTTTTTAAATGGTCAGTAGGTTTTGTTTTTCCTGGAGTGTCACTGGCTCTCCGACAATACCTGCATTTCTCATCTGGGGGTCTAGCATCTCTGTACCACCGAGAACTTGGCTCTTGGTTAGCATTCAAAGGACTGATAAACCCACATGAAGCCTCTCCTAGGCTTTCCCACGGTTTTCAACAGCAACAGACTGAATATTTTATCCTTTGTGTTCCAGTATAACAGTATTAGGTGGGGCTTTTGGGAAGCCATTAGTCAAGAAGATAAAGCCCTTATGAAAAGATTAATGCAGGGCAGGCAGTGGTGGTGCACACCTTTAATCCAGCACTAGGAAAGCAGAGGCAGGCAGATCTCTGTGAGTTCAAGGTCAGCCTGGTCTACAAGAGTGAGTTTCAGCTTACGCGTGTGCGCGCACACACACACACACACACACACACACACACACACACACACACACACAAAATATATTAATGCTTTATAAAAGGAGGGCTGGGGAGAGTTTTCTTGCCTCTTTCTACTAGCAGAGAGCAGAATAAGAAGATGGCAGCCTAGACTCCTCCCTGCAATCTCACCGTGCTCACATTCAGACTTCCATTATTTTGAACTATGAGAAATAGGTTTCTTGCTTTTCTTCGTTTTGTTTGGCTGCCATTTGTTTTAATATGCCACTCAGACTGCAGCACTTTGTAATAGGAACCCCAGTTAGTTAACACACTTATTCTAGGTAAGCAATTCTTTTTCAGCCCTCTGAGATCTACTATGAGCACTGGCTTAGAAGAATAAGAAGGGGGACAGTTCTTTAGCAAAGCATTGACCCTGTTGCTAGTCAGAGCCAGAATATGACCTGAACCCAGCTGACCTCTCCTCCCTAGATTGCCAGATTTAGCAACTGAAACTATAAGACTCTCAGATATCTTTCTGAGGCAAATAACCTATAACTTTTTGGTATAAGCATGTCTCATATGTATTCGGGATATATTTGTTTTAAAAGATATTTTGCCTCAAAATGCTTACCTGAAATTCTGAGTTATTCTGGTCATCCTGAGTTTTATTTATCTGGAGATCCTGGGGCTTTGGAGTTGAGGACAAAGAGGGTCTTAAGGCTGACATCATTTCTTAAGAATAAACAGGTAAGTGCCCTGGGGGGTTAGTTCTCTCTCCCCGCCCCCTCTTCCTTCTCCTTCCCCTTCTTCCATTTTCATCCCCCTCTCTTCCTTTCCCCCCTCTCTCTTTTCTCTCTTTGGAAACAGGGTCTCATTTTTAACCCAGTCTGACTCTCGCCATTCCTCAGTCTGCACATAAGTTTATAACTAAAGCCGTGAGCACTTCCTATAACCACATGCAAGTCCAAATTTTGCTGTTGACCCTCTGGAGTGACTTACAGACAGGTTGTTTGGTTAGTTAGTTAGTTGGTTTGTTGGTTGGAAGGTTGGTTGGTTAGTTTAGTTTCTATATTTCCAAACATAAAAATTAGAAAAATGAGATTTTTTTTCTCTTGTGTTGTTGAGAAAATGCCCTTTACAGGGTGGACATGAGTACCAGCAGATCATGTCAGTAAACAGAAAGTCTTCTTGTTTTAATGGCTTTGAACATAACTAGTGTTTAAAGTACATTAAATTTCAGACAGAGCCTATCTTGCTACACAGGAGGTCATGGACTCATTAGCATCATGCTCGTCTCTTTCTACTCCTCACATACATAGATGAGAGTCTCTCCGATGTGCAATTCACTGTGTGTGTGTGTGTGTGTGTGTGTGTGTGTGTGTGTGTGTGCTGGGCATCGTATCCAGACCTTGTATGTGATAGGCAAGTGCTCTATTATATTTGAGCCACAGCCCAGACCCTCTACATACTTTATGATAAGAAACATTAACACAAGGGACAAAGAAGGACTCTCTTGTAGAGAGCCAAAACTTGAGTGTAAAGTGAGGAAAAGGAAATTGAAATTCTTGGTGCTTTTCAAAGGAGCTGAAAATGTTTGTGCCCTGGGCAGTTGCTCTGTGAAAAGAACAGTAAAAATGTTTCATTTTGTAGTCACTCTGATTAAGGAAAGGTAAGGTTGAAAAACTGTGTCTTGGTTTCCTCCTGATGAGACAGAATGTCAGGAAATTAAGGGGGAAACTGAATGAAGAAACAGACAGACTCTGTAGCATTCTGAGAGAGCTTAATAAGTCTGACTTGGTTTTAAAAGCAGCCATGTGATAAGTGTTTTGGATGTTGGGGCAGTGGTGAATCTTGAGTACTTCCATGTGAGAGTGTGTGTGCTTGCATGCCTGTAACTATAATACTGGTGCTAGCCACAGCATTCATAAAGAACCTATTGCACTGAGTGACAAGACTATCCCAACCTGTCCTGGACAGAGGAAGTTCTCAAGATGCAAGACCACAGTGGTGAAGTAGGGAAAGGCTGGGGTTGTAGCTCGGTTGGTAGTGTTTGCCTGGCATACACCGGGGCTGCTCTCAGTCCTGTGTAAACTTAGCACTAAGGAGGGGGAAGCCAATGATCAGAAGTTCAATGTTATCTTCAGACCCTGCCTCAAGTGTGTGTGTGTGTGTGTGTGTGTGTGTGTGTGTGTGTGTGTGTAAAAGTCGTAGGCAAATTAGGATGAATTTACAGGTGCATTATCTCATCAAACTCACAAACAGACCTGACGAAGTGGGCACTCACAATATGACCAGAAAGTGGTATGGAATTTGTACACAGAAGCTGACACAGTCACTCTATACAAGCTACACATTCCTTAACGAGAAGCGCAGGATCTGAGTCCAACTCTGGACTTCAGAGACTCAACCACCAGCTGGTGTGTCTTAGACCTCTTCAAGATAATCATCTCTTATTGTTACATTCCTGGGCCATTACTAAACACTTTCTCAATTTCCCTTCTGTCACTAATACTTCCCGCTGCTCAGCTCAGCCTCCTACCAAGGGAACCAGCAGGTCAAGCCCAGTCTTGTGTTTAAGCATAGAAATGGCCCCTCCTCTTAGCAACAGACGCTAAAGCCTGGTTATCCACCACAGTGCCTGGGTACAAACCCCATTATGGTTAAAACTGCTCAGGGAACTCCCCAGGTTCCCAGGGGTGTTATCTGGGATAGCAAGTTTCCTCTTGTGGATATTAATATGTGACTGTGCTTCATTTTTGTCCTCTGCAGAGACATCAGGCTGTTCTAGGAAGTTCCAAGAAATCTACTGAAAAGAAACAAAGAACAAACACTGCAAAGAGTGGAAAGTGGAGGAGGATTTCTGCAGAACGCCACGCTACCTCTCCATTCTTTGTCTTTCCTTCTCTCCCTTTCTGCCAGGGAACTCCCCGGGATACCAACATCTATGACCTCAGAGAAACAGTTCCGTGCCAGAGTGTCCAGAGGGTCCGAAAACTCCGCTGCTGCTCTCATCCCCGTTCTGCTCGAAGGAATCGCAGATTTCAAAGCAGCTGGATGGGAGACTGATCCTCCGAGGAACTGAGAACTCCTTATTCTTTCGTCCAACGGAACAATTAGAACAGGCACCATGAGCTACCACGACTGCTCATCTCAGGAGGTGGGTGTGAAGTTTAAGGCGTGGTTTTCTGTACTTGTGTCTTCAACATGTAGGGAATTGAGAGTGTTGGGGAGGAGGGACTTTTCCCACAGAGAGATTGCCATGGTAGATCCCTTTGACCTGGAAATTATGTTAATCACCTTTTTACTCTGAAATTTTCGAGGTAGAACCCATCGTTCCTTTCCCTTCCCTTCAAATGCCGTCAGATACACACTCCAGCATGCAGGTCCCACCTTGGGATTGCACGTCAGAGCATTCTGGGGCATATTCTGGCACAGTGTTGGGGCTGGCAGAGGAGGCTGAAAGCTCAGTGGGTAAGAATGCTTACTGCATAAGCGTGAGAACTTGAATTCATACCCCAGCACCTCTGTGTAAATAGGTGTGGACGCATGTGGCTGCAACCCCAGTACTGGGTGGAGGTGAGGGTCAGGGACAGGAATCCTGGGGCTTACTTGTCATCTGCTTAGCTCTAGGTTCAGTGATAAACCCAGTCTCAAGGGTATAAGCTGGAAAGCGACCGAGCAGGACACGTAACACCTGCTCTGGCTTCTGCCCATATGTGGGCATGCACACCCCCACAGACACTGCTAATTTAAAAAACAATTTTTAATGTAAAAACCAGTCTCACATAGGCACAAAGTTACCTTGTAATTTTATCACTTGGGAGACTGAGGCAAGAAGATTGTGTATCCCAAGGAAGTCTGTACTATATGGCCTCAAAACAAGAACAACCTTATCAGAAACTAGAGTCTTGGCCTGTACCCTCCAAGACTCTGATTCAGATGTGGCGTGCCATGGTGGAGAGCCAAGAGCTCTATTTTTAACTCAGGGTGGAATGGTTCTGGCATAGCAGAGCCACACAAGCCATCATGTGCAATCTGAAATAAACTGAACTGGGGCTGCTGGTTTAAGCCAGTAGCTTCTGCACTCGGGAAGCCAAGCAGCGGAGAGCAGCCTGAGGTGCATAGTAGACTCCACCTTAAAAACAAATCGATAAGCAGACAAACTGCCCCCAAAGTAATCTGCCCAGTCCACATGCAAGCATCTTGGATGAAAAGGCCAAAATGCCAAGACTCAGAGGAGCATTTAAAATAGAAACTTAATAAAATTATATCTGCTGCATAGCCAAGCCCATGCTCTGAAATGAAAACTCCCTAATATTTACCAAAGAAGATACTTAGACATTCAGGTTGTTAGCACACCATTTTGCATAGCTGTTAAACTATTCCCCGGTTCCTCCTGGCAAGAGCCACGGTGTGCCACATGGATTGAAACTGGAGTAGGCTGGGTTTTCCCACCAGGACTGTATTCTACTTTTGTGGGAGGAGTAGCTTTCCCAGGTTCTGTTGGCACTGGGATCAGGTTTACTCCACTGTGAACAGGAACACAATTACCAAGACCCCTCCCAGATTAACATCCTCCATGACTTCACAAGTCAGGGGGTTGGGGCTTAATTACTCCTTCCCGCTCTTGTTGGGACTTAACCAAGATGTTCTGGCTTGGTGCTGTTTGTTGCTGTTTGAATGAAGATTTTTATTTAAAACAGATTTCAAAATCTAGGTCAAAGGAGAGATTGCCACTGACCACATATTCCTCTTGCTTGCAAAGACACAATGCTGACAGCCCTAACCTCGTCATCAACACGTGTCTTGTAGCTGGGACCTGAAAAGGCTTTCATATCCTTGAAAGCACCCTTGCTAGCTCTGCTTTGGTTGGTATTGTACCTGCTTTGGATGGCCAGATCCATTTCCAGTTGATCCCGGGTTATTCCCGTTTTGTTCCCTTCACTGATGCAGATCTGGCATGGATTTCAATCATAAAAGAGGCGATTCTTAGAGATAACTGGTTAGTTCTCAGGTCCTTGAGATCGAGGTTGAGAACACAGAGGCTGCCAATGATTTAGATCAGTATATCAAAGCTGGGTATGATGGTTCATGACTGAAACCCCAACACTTCAGAGACTGAGACAGGAGGATTTTGAGTTTGTGACCAGCCTGGGTTATGAGTCCCTATCTCAAAAAAAAAAAAAATCAATAATTCAACAATAAAAACGTCAGTATACTAAGTTCTATAAGATGAAAATAATGAGGTCCTTGGTTCTCAGGAGCATCAGGCCTGAGGAGGGGACCAAGCAGCTCTACTCTGAATAAGTACCCACTGCCCACCATTGGTAACAGTCCTTGAAAAACACTGGATTGGCCTGTGAGATAAGTGAACCCATTCCATGCTTTCAAGGATCTCAAGCTTAAATACATCTGTGATCGTGACTTTTTCTGTTCTCATTTAATTTTTGGCCCCATGACCCACCTAGAGTAATTAGCCATGTAAGGGGTTCTTGCCATTCCTGACATTTCTGGGGTGACGGGTGATGCACATTTAAAAGCTACTGCCCTAGAAGACAGGTCTGCCTCTTGTGTGCCTGGGGCATTTTACATACCATTCTGACTCTTGGTTTGGTCAGCTAAAATGGGACTACCCCCCCCCAAAAAAAAGGTTTTGCATGCCTGACGTGCAATCATTTGGCATTTGGGTAGACAGTATTGTTTATTTAATAATACAGGAGTTCCAGGGGAGTTCATGGGGGTTAGGGGTTATCAATGAAGGGTTAGGCAGGCTTGGTGATTCATGGCTAATAGGGAATCCTATGTCCCTCTTCCACCCTAGCCTGCACCAGTAATCTTGCCTGCCATAATTTGCAGACCCAAGTAAAGAAATCTCTGCGACAGTGTCTCAACTGATACCAGAGCTAGTCCAAAGTCACATCCTAGGGTTAAAGTCAGAGCCGACATTGGCCTCTTGAAAAATCCTTCAAATCGTCTTGAAAGTGAAGAACAGCAGAACCTCCCAAACATCAACCCAGCACTGTCTCTGCCGCAGCCTCAGACAAAATGCTTGTCTTTTGCAATGGGGCTGAGGCTTCAGACAAAAGCCTCATGCAATACTGTTCAGCCCACATCCACTTCCAGCTCCGTTCAGGAGAGGCACACAGGAACTGAGAGACTGTGGAAGGCTCACACCCAAATGTACACTCACCGATGAAAGGGTGACTCCCACACCCACCTTTTTAAAAAATAAATCACAGGGAGTTGCTTATATGCTTGTTAAACATACCTAAGATGCCAAGCCATTGCCTGAGTAAGTTTTTAATCAAAACACTGTATGTGTGAAATGCAAGAGTCAACCTATAAAAGCTATCCACTTTGGGGGCCCAACAAGATGGCTCAGCAGGTGAAGGAGCTTGTCCTGCAAGCTTGGTGACATAGGTTCACTCCCTAGACCTCACATAAAAGTGGAAGGAGAGGGGCTGGAGAGATGGCTCAGTGGTTAAGAGCACTGATTGTTCTTCCAGAGGTCCTGAGTTCAATTCCCAGCAACCACATGATGGTTTACAACCATCTGTAATGAGGTCTGGTGCCCTCTTCTGGCCTGCAGACATACACACAGACAGAATATTGTATACATAATAAATAAAAAAAGAGTGGAAGGAGAGAATCAGTTTCACAAAATTGTCCACTGATTTCCAACACACAACACTTCATGGCACACATGCCCACATAATGCGTGCACGTGCACATACACACCATGCACACACTCAATAATACTAATACTAATACAACTACTAAACAAATAAAACACTAATACTAATCAATCATATTAATTATTAATATATTAATACATTATTTACATATTATATTATATTAATCATAATTAGATATATTATAATTAATTAAATTATTTATATAATCATGCATCATTATATAATTGTGTGTTATATTTATATATGAATTAATTATAAATAATATTATTATTAATAATGCTAATACAACTACTACGAATAAAAATGAAAGGAAATTCGCTTGTAATTCTACCCAGGGTTAGGCAGGAGGTACACTCAAAGCTTGGGCTTTTTCTGAAGGGTGGAAAAATGAACAGATTGTCTTGGGGGGAAAAGACAAGGAGGAGGTGCTGCAGACCAGACAAATGATTTAAAAGCCAAAACATTCATGTATAATGGATGGAGGGGCCTGAGCAGCACTGTGTGCATCAGACTCCCGGGAACCTCTGCAGTTCTCACCCTCTCCAGAGGCCCAGAAATCTCTCCCAGTTCCTGAAGAGAACCTTTGTTTCCCACAGCTTGACAAAAATGACTCCATACATCACATGAGCCACTCCCAGGCGAGGCCAGAGCTGCCCCCTCTGCCTGTGTCTGCAAATGAGGAGCCGTCAGAACTCTATGAGGTGAGTACCCATGGCTGTCGGCTCTTCTGCTGAGGAAGAACTGGGTAACATACCTTGCCTGTGTATGCATTCCTTTGGGTTTTAGTGAAGGCAAACAGTCTTGGCAAGTGGGACTAAGAACTCTGGTCATTTTGTCGCCAGAAGACATGGCAGCGGTATGAGCACAGAGCTTTGTGCTAGAATAAAAGCGTGTTTGCATCTGGCCCTGCCATCTACCTGCTGTGTTATAGAACTCTAAGTCAGCATCTTCAGCCATCAAAGGAGAGCAGTTCCATGCCTTTTGCCACCGGGTCCATAAAGAATAACAGTGGTGTTGAACGCCAGCTGTTTTCCTTGGCTTCAGAAATCTTCCGTTGGGCAGAGAGGTAGCCATGCACAAAGTAGTTCCCCGGGGCTGAGCAGGGTAGACACACAGCATCCGGTATGTGCCACTCTATCTCCGTGGCAGCGGAGCCCAGGCTCACAGAGATGCCTCTGACGGCATCTCCTTTACATTGCTCTCCTTGCAGACTGTCATGTCTCACAGCTTTTATCCCCCCTTGATGCAACGTACATCCTGGACCCTGGCCGTGCCCTTCAAAGAGCAGGACTGCCACCGTGGACCCAGTGACTCCATCGGCAACAACTATTCTTTGACGGCCCGGGACATGAAGCTGAAAGACCTGTTGAAGGTCTACCAACCAGTCACCATCAATGTCCCTAGGGACAAGACCAGTAAGGGTAATATTCTTTAAGAAATGCTAGTGGGCAGTTCCCGAGCACCCTGCCCGAGATCCCTGGGAGAGACAGCAGGCAGCAGCCAGTCCCAGGAGAGATGTCAGCCAGTCCTCAGGAGAGACGGCAGGCTCTGGGAGCAGCCAGTGCAGTGGCAAGCAGACACATGGCAGGCGGGCAGGAGACAGAAACGTGGACATGTAGAGTGAGATTGAAATATTTATTCAGGGGGTTATGGAAGAGAAAGGGAGGGGGAAGAGAGAGAAAGGGGGGAGAAGGAGAGGAAGAGAGAGAGAGAAAAAAAGAAAGAGAAAGAGAGAGAGTTGGGGAGATGCGCCTCAGCCTCCAGAAGAGAGCACTAAGAATGAGTCCAAGATGGTGGGGCAGGGGTGGGGGTGGGGTCGCTGGGAGTGGGCGTGGCTTGCCCCTTAAAGGGATCAGAGACCAAAGGAATAACAGAGAATACCAGGTACTTGCGACCAATATGCCACATCTTGTGCAGGATGAGGCCTTGAAATGAGGCTTCTACTCCTGGGTTTTCTTTCATCCTGGCTCCACCCTTTGTTGGACCTGGTATCTTTATAGAGCCTCACTCACTCCACTTATGAAAGGGAAATTCCTAAAATGGCTAAAGTTTACGCATCACTTGCAAACACCAGTACTGTTTAAACTACTGATGTCCGCACCGTAGATTATTCCAAAAATGTCATCAAATCAAATCATATTCATCATCTCCCTGTTTCTACAGGTGAGATCTCTGCATTTGGCTTAGTTGGGTAGTTCAAGCTCAAGATCTCCCACAATCACACAATCAAGGTGCAGCCGAGACCATAGTCATCCAAATACACTGGGAGGAATTCTCTTCAAGGCTTGTGCACATTCTTAAGCTCTTGTTGATGGCTGGCTATCATTACCAATGGCTTGCCACATGGACTCTCCATGGCTTCTGACTTCCACTGGAGTCAGCGAAAGAGGGAGCAGGACAGAGACAGTACCTCAGAAACCACAGAAAGTTTTTTTTTTTTTGAAAATTAACCTTCGGACTGACATCTTCTCACGTTTATCATAGTCTCTTTGTTAAAAATGAATCTCCAGGTCCAGTGTCATGCCAAAGTCCTATCATGGAGCAGAGATCAGGGGAGTGGAATCCATTTTGGAAGCGGTTTACCACAACATCTCACAGACATGAACTGATCTCACCCCACCACATACACATATATTTGCTTCTAGAACCCTTCTGTGATTTCTATTAGATACACTTTGGAGACCCTCCATCTGTTCTCTGTCTCAAACCCCTGTATATTTTCCACTTTCCCCTCTCTGTTTTATAAGTTAATTCCTCAACTGTTATCTTTCAACTCACTAATTTTCTCCTCGACTTTGCTCAATATTTTAACACATCATGACTAGAAAGTGCTGTTGGATTTTTGTTTGTTTGTTTGGTTTTTGTGTGCATGGATCCTAGTTTTATTTTTGTTGCTGTGATAAAAACACCCTGAACAAAGGATCTTAGGGGATGAAAAGGTTTATTGGTTTATGACTCCTGATTCCAGTCCGTTATGATGGGGAAGTCAAGGCAGTAACATTCACAGTCAGAGCAGAGAGAGAACAAAACATGAATCCTTGCAGGCTGCATACTTAGCTAGCTTTCTCTACTATTATACAGGTTAGAACCAGTCCTGGGACTCCCCACTTTCAGGGCTGGTCTTCCCAACCCTGTTAACAATCAAGACAACCCCCCACAGACAAGTCCACAGGCCAGCCTGATCTAGATAATTCCCCACTAAGAATGTCCTTCAGGTGATTCCTGACAGTATCACCTGGACGGTTAAAACTAATGAGCAGCAGCTGTGGCTTCTTTCCATTTTCAGATTTTTAATCATTTCTATTGTGATTTTCCCCCTAATTTCTTAATCTCCTTTTTTATGGCGCTAGCCCTAAGAATATCATTTGGAGGGATCCTTGAAGGAGTTCTCACCAGTGATGCTTGTTGATTGAATATACATGCATGGCCTTAGGATGTTACCTTGCATATTACTGCCTCAAGGACATAGAGCAAACATTAAATACCCAGTGTACAAAATCTCACCTAGAAACTTAGGCTTGATGCTACAATTGCTAATACCATGATTCTTGTTTAAGCCTGTTTGAGTTTCCATAACAAAGTGCATAGTCTTGGTAGCTTATAAACAAGAGAATATTTTAATCACATTCTGGAATTGGAAAATCTAAAGTAAAAAAGAAAGACAACAATTTCAGTCTATGATGAGGGCTCATCCTGGTTTAGAAACACCGTATTCTTTTTCCTTTCCATTAAAAAAATTTTCATACAATGTATTTGGATCAGTTTGATCATTTCTTGTCCCCCATCCTGCCTACTCATCCAAATCTCTATTTTTTTCTCTCTCTCAAAAGAACTAGAACAAAGGAAAAAACAAATGAACAAAGTAACAAAACAAAGGACTGTACTCTGCATCCTGCCCTACCATGTCCACTCCCCTTAATATTCCCCCAAACCATTCCCAAGGATCCCATCTTTGCAGACAGAGAGTGGCTCCAGGCTTCCCATCCCTGATGGTTTTCTTCTCTACTCTCACACAGTATCTAAAGTCTCATCAGAGCCCACTAAGAAGAAAATGAAGTTGTCCTTGAAATGCAAGGAGGATGCTCCCAGGTAAGGTGTCATTATGGGTGCTATGGGACAGAGGAAATTGGACTGAGCTAAGTCATGTTCTGAAAAGTTGGGCAGTGGTGGCACACGCCTTTCATCCCAGAATTCAGGAGGCAGAGACAGGTGGTTCTCTGTGAATTCAAGGCCAGCCTGCTCTACATAGTGAGTTCCAGGATAGCCAGGACTACATGGAGAAACCCTGTCTTGAAAAACCTAAAAAAACAATATAAATAAATAAAATAATAAGTCATATTCTACTTCTTGACTTCAAAGCATTGCCAGACACCCAGGAGTTCATTTTCCTCACCAGTCTTTCAAGGGTCTGTATAAAAGTTAATGAGCTGAGTAAAGCCAGTGTTCACAGTATGTGATGTGCTACACATCTGGGTCATCCAAGGTGCACACATCAGACGTCACTAGATGACACAGTGGGTGGGGTAGGTGTCCCTGGCAATCCTCAGATTTGGGAGAGTAGATCTGACAAATACAGTGTCTCGGTGGGACTAAGAGTGGACTGCCCCCACCTTTCAGGATGCCACCAGCCTGCAAACTCTCGTCTTCCGCACCCAGGAAGAGTGACAGGGACTCGTGGGCAGTCCAGTCGGGAAGCAGACCCATGAGTCCAGAACAACAGATGGATGTGATGTTGCAAGAGGAGATGGAAATAGAAAGTAAAGAGAAAAAGCCATCTGAGTTAGACCTGGAGGTACTTTTTTATTGTGGCCCCTGACTTGAGAGATAGCATCTTGGCATCTGAGTGATTTGAAGCAGCGAATGACAAGAGTCGCCCGGGGAATGGTAACAGAATACAGAAGCCCAGAAATTTTAGGAACTGGGGCTTGTGAGTCCCTAACACATAGTTTGGCACATGGCAGCCCATGGGGCAGGGGAGGTGGCCAAACTCTTGCAAAACAAGAAAGGACTCTCAGTTAAATATGAATTTCAGATAAACAATGAAGACAATGTTTTGTGTGTGTGCGCGCGAGTAAACCAGCTGTGTTCTGTAGTTTTTCTGGCAACCCTATCAACCGTCAGCAAAATGCAGCCTGTAAGTGCGTCTTATAAAAATAGGGGAAATGCCTAATGAGGTAGATCTTCAACTCTTCTTAAGAAAACTAAAATACTCAGAGCTGAGCAGTTGTCTTCTTCGAGGAGAAGAACCTGCCTGTGGCCTTGTCACGTGCAATGTGTGTGAAGTGGCTGGCCTCAAAAGCATGGTGGCAAGCAACCAAAGGCGGGGATGGCTGCTGTGTGAACCGGGATCCTCAGCTGCTTGGTGGCTGCTTGACTGGTTGGGTGGACCGGGTGAGCACTGCCACTCGGTCATGACATTTTTCTTGCTTTGTTTATGGAAGAGATACTATTACTACTTGACCAACGGCATCCGGAAAGACATGATTGCCCCCGAGGACGAGGAGGTGATGGTGCGAATTTACAAGTTGATTCCTAAGGTGCTGCTGGCAACCCCAGCCCTGGAACCCCTGCAGGTCGCGCTCAGGTCTGAGAAGGAAAGAGACTATTACTATAGCCTCATGAAAAGCATTGGTAAGGCTGGGCTTGTGGGCACGGAGCTCCTGTGGAGGGCACAGCCTTTCCTCTGTGCCCGTTGCTCTGCTGTTGCTGTGACGAGACAGCCAGAAAGCATGAGCTCAGAGGAGGAATGGTTCATTTTGTCTTGCGGCTTCACGGGTCTGAGGACACGGTCAGGTGCCTCTATTGCTTCCGGGTTGTGACGGTGCAGAACATCCCAGCAGGGGCATGTGGTGCCATCTGTGTGTTGCTCAGCTCATTCTGCTCAGCAAACCAAGAGAGTGAGAAAGAGCATGTGTGTGCTAACAGGCTTCTTCCTCTGGCCTTCATTCTATCCAGGCTTCCATCCTAATAGACGGCCTCTGTCTATATCCTTAGTTACTGGCTCGCATGCCATTCACCTCTGGAAACATCCTCACAGACACACCCAGGTGTGAGAGAATACCATACTAATCTCTCAGGCAGCATTCAATCCCAACAAACTGACAATCAGGATAAACTATCACATGATCAATCAATTTATCAGTCCCCACCCCAACTTCACTGAACTCACCCCAAAATACCATGTGACTTTTAACTCAAATGTCCCCCCATCCTCATTGTCATCACTACTGCTTCCCTCTGAGCGAACCACCTTGGCATAGACATGCTTGTATAGAGCTTGTTAAAAAGCAGATTCTGGTTTAGTAGGTGTGCATCTTGGGTAAAGCCAAGGAGGTCATTCAGCATGGACGGCTAGCTCCAGGAGGCTCAGATGTGACAGACAGACATTAATCACACTGTGGGAACCCTGTCCCTTCTCCTCGGTGGCTCTTCTCTTGTCCCCTCAGTTGTCCCTTCCCCCTTGGCGGGTCCTAGCGCCCTGACTTTCAGCTCATCCTGGCTGGCACGTCCCACTGTGCCTTTGTCTCTCTGCTGTTCTCTTCTCATCTCTGTCACTTTGGACTCCTTCTGTGACTGTGAGCTTTTGGAGAGTGATGGATGTATCACTTTGTCTCCCTCTGTCCTAAGCCCACCCAGTGTCCTGTACACACAGTAGACCACACTGGGAAGCATTTAATGGCAGGTGATTTGAGAGAGGAAGGGGAAGGGTGACCCTGTTGTTTTTTCTGCCTTGTTATTACGCTTTTACCAAAATGTCTAGCTATTTCTGTTTTCCTAACTTTCTGACGAGGTCAGTATAATAGCTCCTTGTCTGGTGTCACACAGAGTCCATCTAAGAATAGACATGTGAGGTCTTTGGCTTCTAGCTCCTCCTTGCTTTTCCAGCCATACACCTTCAGTGCCACCATTGCGGCCGATGTGTCTACACAGCATAGCTCACAGCTCCTTGAGCAGACGGTCTGACACTTTCCCTCTACACACAACATCTATCCCTCTGTCCCCGGTGTCCTTCCTCTGAGAAGCTCATATGCCTTCTTCATGGTGCAGCATAATTGTGACCCTACCAAGATACCACCAATCTTTCTTTCCTAACAAAACACATTTGCTGTCTAAATCTCCATTTGTAAGTATCGGGTGCTGCTTGCTGTGTTGATGCATGCTTGTGTAGCTATCCTGGTGAGTGAAGTCAATTAATCACGAATAGAGGACCAGCAAATGCTAACGGACTGTCAGGAAAAGTGGGACTCACCCTCAGAATCTAAGTACTCTTCACTGCCAAGTCACACTGGTTCCAGGGAAGTCACACCCATGGGTTACCCATGGCCTGGCCAGGGAGGCATTGCCGGGTGGAAATGGACCGATGCTCACTTCCGTTCTAAGTGTCTGAAAGCTAGGAGTATAGGATGTGTAAAGACCCTGCCTGAGAGGGTGTCCTCTTTTCATTCTAGTTGACTACATCCTCATGGACCCAATGGAGAAGAAAAGGCTGTTCATCGAGAGCATCCCTCGCTTGTTTCCTCACAGAGTGATCCGGGCCCCTGTGCCCTGGCACAATGTCTACCAGAGCGCCAAGAAGTGGAACGAGGAGCATTTGCACACAGTGAACCCCATGATGTACAACCTCAAGGAACTGTGGTTTGCAGAGTAAGACCTGGCCCCTGGCCTTTGGGTTCCTTTCTTTATTGTTCAGTACCTAAAAGAACCTCTTCAGTACGGCACAGTGAGGGTAGCTCTGCTGTGGAGAGGGCACATCAAAGATCCTAGACAGAAAGTGTATGGGTTGTGACTGTGAACTTACCTACAGGTCTAAGGAACCCTACTATGCATTCCCAAAATACATTTCCCCTGTCTGAAAGCCCTGGAGCGTGGTGGGTAACAGTGTACATATTGAGTCATTAAGTTCAAAATCTTAGCTCTGCTTTGTAGGTAGATGGGTATGCAAACTCCATCTTTGGGTCCTGCTTTCTTGTCCTCCAAGGTTGAAATAATAAGAGTTCCTACTTCAGAGACATGGTAAGAGGTATTAGTAACTCAGCACAAAGTACTTACTTAGTACCTGATATGACTTAAGAGACCAAGGAGAATTAATTCCCCATTTCCTGCCTTGTAGCACGGTCACCCTACATTACAACTCTCTGCTTACTTATCTGCCTCTACTTCTGAGATGGATGAAGGTTTGGGTTCCTTTTTTCCTGCTTATGAAATTCATTTGCCAAGCTACGGTCTCTCCGTTGTACTTATGAATAATTATATTCACTCCCCAAATTATAGGAATCTAGATGAGAAGACCCCTTTTTTCTTTCAAATTTCAAAACTCGAGATATGCCATTGTCTCTTGTTATACATAGAGATTGTTTCTGGGACCCCAGATACTATACTATGGTCCATGAACTCTCATATATAAAATACTCTAGTATTTTCATAAGTCTCATACTTTCCCTTAAACTTTGTCATAAGGGGTTGCTTAGGAAATAATTTCAAGAATAAAATATGTATCTGTTTAGTACAAAAGCAGAGTTTTTTTTCAGAATATTTCCCACATGCTGTTGGTTGAATCCAAGCACACAGAACCCACAGAGATAAAAGACCGACTGTAAAACTCACTGTCTTGGTTCCTTTTCTGTTGCTGTGATAGATGTCATTACTGAAAGCAACTTAAGGAAGAAAGGGTTTGTTTTGGCTTGTGGTTCTGGAAGGATAGAGCTTATTACAGCAGGGAAGACATGGCCACAGTCAAAGAAGAATGTAAGCACAATTAGGAAACTACCCAATCACATGTCAGACACACAGGGAAGAGAGGGAAGAGTAAGTGGGGTGAGGCTAGAGATTCCCAAAGTCCGTCCATAGTGACCATCTTAGGGTTCCTATTGCTGCAGTGAAACACACGACCAAAAAGCAAGTTGGGGAAGAAAGGGTTTGTATGGCTTACACTTCCCTATCACTGTTTATCATTGAAGGAAGACAGGGCAGGAACTCAAACAGGACAGGAACCTGGAGGCAGAGCTGAGGCAGAGGCCATGGAGGGTGCTGCTTATTGGTTTGCTCCTCATGGCTTGCTCAACCTGTTTTCTTATAGAACCCAGGACCACTAATCGAGGGATGGCACTACCCACAATGGGCTGGGCCCTCCCCTGCTGATCACTAAATAAGAAAATGCCCTACAGGTAGATATGATGGAGGCATTTTCTTAATTGAGGTCCCCTCCTCTCAGATGACTTTAGCTTGTGTCAAGTTGACATAAAGCCATCCAGCACGAGTGTTCAAATATATGAGCCTATAGAGGAAATTCTCATTCAAACAGCCCCACCTACCCCTTTAAAGTACGTGCACAGTGAGGTACTTCACAAGTTTGTGCCACCCGCACCGCTAATCCAAGGATATTTTTGTCATTCACATTCAGCCCACCCTTCAGCCCCTGGCAACCACTAATCTTCTTTGCCTCAGTAGACCTGCAGGTGCTGGATGTGTAATAGATACTGAATCACATACTATTATGTACTCCTTTGTGTCTGGTGTCTGAATTAAACACGATGTCCTCAACATCTGTTCGCAGAGAAACAAGCACCAGTAACGACATTTCTTTTTACGACTGAATAATATTCCATAGTTTGGCTATATCATATTTTGTTTATCAATTCAGTGGGTTATATATGGGGGAGAGGAGAGTGTGTGATTTTTTTAAAATGGGGTCCTCAAGAAAGGGCATGAATTGGAAGGGAAAGTTCACTGAAAGGACAGGCTAATGACTCACTTCAGCTCACTAGAAAGTCAGGGGCACCAGGTCAGCAAGGAGGAAGATTTGTCCAGGAAACTGTATCATGGTTTTCATGTGTGACCCCAACTATTCAACTTGAAAATGCCTAAGAGGAGAGAAGTAAGCTAAGATGTCTTTGTGATTGGTAAAGTTTGTGCATTTGGCAACTGTAATGAGATGGGTCTGAGGGAAAAGTGGAGAACCTGGTTCCACCAATGAGAGAAGTTTGTTAGGATTTAACTAAAGACGAGTAATGTGGAGACATGAGCCATACCAGTGTTGGATGTCTGTGTGGTGAGTCAGGCTCTCAGGCCCACCCTTCCCTAGAAGTGCTTTGTATTCAGTCGCACACAAACACGTCTAAATTCCCTATCCCCACCTAAAAGGACCATAGGTGGCGACGTTTTAGAAGGAAGAATGGTTGATGGATCGTTAAAACAGATGATGGTGTCAAGAGGCTAGCCCTGGGGTTGGCTTAGGAACCTGGGCAAAGATCTGGTTTGAGAAGTAGTGGGGATGACTTAAGGACCAACCTATGGAGGAGGGGATACTGGAAAGAGAAATGGTGGACCTGTGGGCTTGGGAAGTGGCAGAGCTTCCCTGGATCCAGAGAAGGGGAAGGGGGAAAAAAGGAGCAATGTAGGAAAGATGATGAGTCATTCATTCAACAAACATTCAGAGTGTCTACGTGGTATAAACACAGAAACATAAGGGGAGTGCGGTAAACCTTCCCGCAGGGCGAGTTACGGTATGGTTCAACCTAATGCTAGGCAGCAAGGCTGGGGAGATGGCTTAGTCAGCTGAGTGCACACATAAGGACCTGAGTTCATCCTCCAGAACTCATGTAAAAAGACAGCATGAAGGCACATGCTTGCAATCCTAGAAATGGGGTAGGGTGACTGGGGCGGGGTGGGGGGAGCGGTCCCTGGTGCTTGCTGGCCAGTCAGCCTAGCCTACTGGGTGAGTTCTAGGTCAGTGAATGATCTTGTCTTAGAAATCAAGATGTCACCCAAGGAAAGACACTCATGGTTGACATCTGGCTTAAACACACACACATACTCACATAGAAAGAGAGGAAGACAGAGACGGAGAGAGGGGAGAGAGGAGAGAATTCCAAAGGGCTTCGTCAAAGCTGTCATGAAGCTTTGGGTCTAACTGCCTGCTGGATTGTAGCAGAGCAGAATCAGAAGTGGTCCATGAGCAGGCAGGTTCTGCTTCTTGCATGTTGCTCAACCCCAGAGCACACCATCCCATAGTGCGGAAGTGAATGGTGCCCTCTGTCATTGTTCCATGCAGCAACATTGGACAGGTGTGCTCTTAGTCAACCAACACCAATGTTTTATTTTGGTGGGCAAAAGGAATGGAGGGGTGTGGGGGGTTCTTCATTACTTTCTGCTCTCCTCTACCCACCCCCACTATCCTCCCACCCCCTGAAACTGCCCAGCATCACTATTTCTAGAAGGTTCTCTTCTAACTTAAGGGTTCAAACAATGAGAACACATGTCCTCTGGCTTGCCCCACAGCATGGATTAGTCTTTCACGCTGGCATTTCTCCCTCCCTTTTGGCAGATTTAAAGACCTCAGGTTTGTTCGAACAGCAGATTTACTGGCTGGAAAACTGCCCCTGCTGCCTAATGAGTACCAGGATGTGATTCAGAAGCACTGCCAGGAGGCACGGCAGATCCTTCTCAGCAAGTCAGTATCTCCTGCAGAACTGGGCTTCAGCCCAGCCTTGTAAAGATTGAGAATGCCCCAGAATGAGAGCTGATTTCCCTCCGGGAGTGGCATGAAGTTTGTTGACTTCCTATGATACCTTCCTGCCATGTTCTATCCTCTAGTAACCTCATGTCCAATTGCTCTCTCTACCCCTCCCTCCCACACTCCCACTGCCTTTTAGAGCCATGCTTTGTTATGACATTTGGTATATCATTTGGTTCTTCCTTGAGATTCTCTCAGTCTCTGGATGCTATGAGGCAATGTGCTCGAATAACTTGTATTGAAATGACCCCAAACAAATAGCCTCAAGATCCAAAGTTAGAGGGTCTTCGGATATTAGAGAACTTCTTTCCTTTAGCAAATGCATACAGAACTATATATCTAGAACAGAGAAATGACTGGGTAGCAAGTCTATTAATCAGATGGTCTTTTGCTATAACAAATTCCAGAGAAAATCAACACAGGAAGAAAAGATGTCAGCTCATGCTTTCAGAGGTGTCTGTCTGTCATGATGGGGCGGATCTGTTTGAGCCCAGCGGCTCACAACATGGTGGCCAGGAAGCAGAGAGGCTGAATGTGCTAGCAGGCTTCTTCCTTCCCGCTCTGTTAACTGAGCCTCCAGCCTGTGGGATTACACATTCTCATTCTTTCCCTCAATCCTCTCTGGAAATTTAGTCCCAGCCAGAGGTGGGCTTTAAAAGTCCTCTAGGCCCAGAGAGCTCTGAAAGCCACTTACTTGCTATTCTCTGATCCCTGTAGGTGGATCCCCACCTGTGCCCAGCTTTTTATCTCCCAGAAGGAACACTGGGTCCGCTTTGCTCCCAAGAGCGACTACGACTCCTCTCGAAACATTGAGGAATATTTTGCTTCCGTTGCCTCCTTCATGTCCCTCCAGCTCAGGGAGTTGGTCATTAAATCCCTGGAGGATCTCGTTTCCTTCTTCATGATACACAAGGTACGTGGAGGAGTCCAGACCCAACCTTCTCCAGGGAAGAGAGCCTAGGTAGAGCTCAAGTAGGCTCTCGGCAAGGAGCCGGGCCAGAAGGTGAAGTTCTGAGTTGAACGCACAGGGTGACTATGACTTTATCTTTTCTAAATGCACAACAAACATCTGTCATATCGTGACCCACTACTAAATTTACATATAAAAAAATCTCTGGAAGCAAATTTTCAGCGACTTTTCTTAAGAAATGAGCGAGTGGCTGCGCAGGATGGAATACGAACCTCTTTGAGGGCAGGGAAAACCACTTGTTTGTGTCTTTTTTGCTACAAAAATGGAGTTGAGACTATTTGCTTTTGACCTTTGGGTTAGCATTTAGGAGGTGTTTTATGCATTTACTACTAGTAGCGATGTGTTGTTTGGTCTCTGAGAGAGATCTTCCAGGTTCACAAGGCTTAGCTTGGATTAGTTAACAGCCTCGTGAAACTGTGTCAGTAGAGGAGAAATAAAAGCAGAAAGCATGAAACCCTGGTTTTCAAAGCATTAAATGCTCCCCTAGATTTAGACAGCCCAGAGATCAAGGGAGAGTGTCTAAAATTTCAGGCTGTGTACATACTTCACCTTCAAAAATAGAGTGATGGGGCTGTTCTTCCAGAGGACCCAAGTTCAATTCCCAGCCCCCACGCAGGCAGCTCACAGCTGTCTGTTCCTTCAGTCTCAGAAGACCCAACATCCTCATGCAGGCAAAACACCAACACACACAAATAAAAATAATAATAAAAATATAATGAATGTTTTTTTAATTCCTTAATTATTAAAAGGTCAAATCCTAAGTATTTTCCCAAGTAAAGTAAAGGTGGTGGCTCATGCCTTTTATCCCAGCATCATGAAGTAGAAGCATGGGCAGGCAAACTTCTGTTAGTTGCTCGAAAGGTTTAAAAGCTACTGCTGTTGAATTTGGGCTGCAATGATCCCTGAGAGGACCATTCCAGAGCAATCATGGGCACATCTCCTGTGTGAGGCAGAAAAGAGAGAGCTGTTTACTTCATCCCATGCGAGGGACGAAATCTCACTGTAAAATCCCACATGAAGAGAGAAGGGACATATTTGTCTCCCCTCAGACAGTCTGAAAGGCTCTCGAGCCAACCGCTTGGACAAGCTTTTGCAGCTGCCCTGTGAGGACTGAGCACTGCGGTTATGAAAGGGATCTTGTGCCGCTCGGGTTCACAGAGGCTTAAGGTGTCTCCTCAGCAATATTTTTGTCATGAGGAAGTTGACTGAGATGCACCATGTGCTCAAGGACCTTGTCTTTTAGAGGACACAGATATTCATTCAGGCAATATGTTTTTATTAAGCACCTACTTGGTATTGATGGCTGCCATAGATATTTTGAAGAAAAGAGGTGAATAAGATGTAGGTCCTGCCCTCAAGTTTAGAACAGACAAGGTAAGGGGAGGGTACAAAGTCTCCTAAGTGAAAGACAAAATAACATGACAGAAGTAGAAAGATGGAAATTCAGAAGAGAAGGAGACTTCCTCGAGGAGATGTCTTTTGTGCTAGTTTTGCAGGGCAGGAGGGATTTCGAAGTCGAAGCATAGGTGTCACTGATTAAAATAAATCATTTTGCACAAAGTTCTTGGGAACTAAAGAAAGCACAAGCTCCTGGCAGGACAGACTCAATTTTAAGCATACTGGTGCCCTTTCTTGGTGCTCAGGGAGTACTATGAATGGATAACAGCACGCCTGTGCTCTCCGGTGGCTGCGCTGTGTGAGGTCTGATGTATCTTCTGTCTCCCAAAGGATGGAAATGACTTTAAGGAACCTTACCAAGAAATGGATTTCTTTACACCTCAGCTAATCATGATTCAGCTTGAAGTGCACGAGCCTATCATTGTCTTCAACCCAACTTTTGATGATTGCTGGGAATTAATAAAGAATTCCTTCTTGGAAATCATTAAGAATTCTGATGGGATACCCAAGGTATGGTATTTGCCTAATCATTCATTTCTATTTTTGTTCTGCACTGAATAAACAATCAAGTGGCTGGTTGCGCAATTGCAGTCCATGTGGTGTTCAGTTAGGCAATTTCACTTTGGGATGCATCCTCAATACACCCCCTTGTCCTCAGGAAGATTATCTAGGTCTTTTCTGTGTCCCCCCTAATCCCCTGCCTTTGTATGCCACCTGACACAAGATAGATAATTCCCAAGTCATCCAATGTGGGTTAATAATTTATTGCAGATGAGCTGGCATGAATCTGCTAAAAATTTTTACAAAAATATATTTCATTTTGTTTTGAGGTTCAATGGGTTTATTCACCACTATAGGGTTCTAGGGAGAGAAAAGCAAAAAATACAAAAACAAAGAAAACTTAATATCCTGGCTCAAGCTCTTCACAGTTTTCTTTTCCCAGAGTGGAATTACTTATCAAATTAGATGCATGAAAGTAAACTTTGTCTACTAGGCCGGATATCCATGTGACCTAACATCTTTTGGTTGGGTGATGTGACAAGGAGACCCATGGCTAGTTCCACATAAGTAATCAGTCTATGAGACTCTCTCTCTCTCTCTCTCTCTCTCTCTCTCTCTCTCTCTCTCTCTCACACACACACACACGCACACGCACACGCACACGCACATGCACACACACACACACACACACACGAGATGAAGCTAAGCTTTGAGGTTGAGGAGGTACTTGGTCAGTAAGGCGTTTGTCAAACAAGAAGAAGAACCTAGATACAATCACCAGCAGCTATTTAAAAGTTGGGTGTGGTGCCAGCCATGTGTCTACCAGCCTGGCACTGAAGAGGTGGAGAAAGGTCTGGGGCTTGCCGGCCAGCCAGTCTAGCAGAACTAGTGAGCTCTAGATTCAGTGAGAGATCCTGTCTCAAAAAAAGCGAAGTGGAGAGCAAGAGAAGAACGCACATGATTTCAACCACCGGCCTCCATATACACAGGCGTGCGCCACACGCCTCCACAGAAATGAAATGGAGTTGGATGAAAAGGGGACACACATGCAAAAAAATGTGCATGCATGAGTGGACAGATGTGTGCATATACACACATGTAAACACACAGACACACACACACAGGCATACATACACAGACATACAGACACACATGCACAGACATATACAGAGAGAGAGAGAGAGAGAGAGAGAGAGAGAGAGAGAGGAGAGAGAGAAAGCGCTTAGGTTTGTAGGAAAATCTGTGACACCAAGGGTCCACCTTCACCAGTAATCTCTGTGCTTGGAGTTTTGATGTCAGCCAAGCTTGGTTTAACATGAAAATGAGAGGGGAAGTGGGACCTCTCCTACAAGCAACATCCCTCCGAGGAAATGAAAGAGAAGACTACAGTTTGAAGAGATAAGTGAGGGGCTGGGGACACATGAAGTACATACTTCCTGAGTCTGTTTCTCTGCTGTCGATTGGTAGTGTTAACAAGCAGCTGGGGCTGGAGAGACTGCCAGAACTGCAAACAGCCCAGCAGGAACTGGTATTAGAGGGAGTGGATTACAATGCCAAGACGACACCCTCACGGGTCAGTTTGTGCCAGGTTGGAAAGGTAGCCCTGTTTCCACACAAATAGTGTTCTAGACTTTGGGAAGACACCACGGGTGCTGAGTTCTCGTCTAAGGATGCCTGCGGCACTCCCTTTCTCCCCCAGAACCTCGGGCTTTCCTCTCGGAACTGAGTTGTGAAATTTTAACCATAGTCCCTTGGATTAAATGTCTGTGACATACATATATGAATATCAGCAGGCGAATAGTCTCCAATATCTTACCTCATCATGGATACAATAAGTTGAAAACATTTCAAGGTGAAACTCAGCTACAAACGTGGTGTGTGCGTGCATGCATGTACGTGTGTGTGTTGCATGTATAAGTACACATGCATGTGTATGCATGTCTGGAGGACAGAGGTCAATGTCAGCTGTCTTCCTAATCTCTCTCCGTGTTATTTTTTTGGGAACAGAGTCTCCACTGCATCTGGAGCTCTTCAATGCAGATAGGGCTGTGGGCCAATGAACTCTACCCATCTGCCTCCCCAGTGCTGGAATTACAGATGCAACACTGTGCCCTGCTTATACATGGGTTCTGGGGACTCAAACTCAGACCCTTGTGTGTGTGTGTGTGTGTGTGTGTGTGTGTGTGTGTGTGTGTGTGTGTAGCAAGCATTTTACCCACTGAGCCATCTCCTCAGACCCAGCAATAATATAAAAAATAAAGAGCATTTGAGCTAAAAAAAAAAAAAAAAAAAGAAAGCCTGTCAGCGAGAAAGAGGTCCTGAAGGAAACCAAAATACATACTATGGGGCATTGGTCTTAACAGTACCGTCCAGGAGAACAAGGCTGAAGTAATCTAGGATGAAACAAAAGAGGTGAAGGAGATGCAGAAATCAAAGTTGAATAAAATGAGAGGGGAAATGTAATAGATAGAATTTCCATGAGTGTTTTAGCCATGCCACTACATTGCCTTTACTTTTTAATATTTTATTCTTTGAGAATTTCATATATGTATACAATAAAATAGGATTTACCCACCGCAACTGCCCCTCTCCAGCCCCCTCCCCCGAATCTCTCCCGCATTCCTTTCATAATGAGAAGCGTGTATTTATGACTGTGGAAAGAGGGTGCTGGATCAGTCTTTCCCCTTGTGGCAGAATCCACTCACTCGGCATTGCAGGGAATGCCAACGCCAGCGAAGCACACAGGAGAAAGCCTGGAACACGGTGGGGAGACCGAGGAGTGCAGAATCAGAGAGCCAGGAGGAGAGGCAGAAAGTAACAGTTCCCTGGATAGGACAGGCTCGTTCTTGTTTCCACCTCGCAGTGTCCACACCGCATAGGAGAACCTCCACATTCAACCCCACAAGAATTTCTCTTCTCTTTTGACTAGAGACTTCTTCCCAACACAAGCTCCAAAATCCAGTCCACATGGGATCTATCGAAAGACCTGGGCTATCAGCTATACTTCCCCAGGCCCTTTTGCCCAGGTCCTGGACCAATGGCAGTCTTATCTCTTGCTTTCAGGCTTTGTCTATGAACACAGTCACAGCACAGAAGTTGCCTCCCGTCAATTTAAAGCCTTTGGGTCACCCAAAGAGAACCAAGGTCATTTGCACCTGTTCCCATGCTTCCTCAACTGCTACTGTCTTGTCAAAGGCAGATGTGTGATTTATAAGGCATGGAGCCTAGGAGGGCAGACTGAAGGTCTTTGCCGAGGCCGGTCACTAAGCATCTGCAAAGTAGAGAAGGCCCTGAGATACGGTAGTGAGT